CTTCATGTGAAACTTCATACTCGATCTCAGCTAAAGTCACTCAGTGTTTTATTAGAAGTCGCAATGGGCAGCTCATGAATACAGCTAACCCTATATATATGAAGTAACTATCCTGACAAGAACAATACCTTACCACAGTGAAAATCTTGATCATATTCATCCATGTGATCAGTTTATTCGCTCTGACATACTCCATAAGTGTGACAATAAAACAAACACTCAGAATAAACAGCGCCAAAAGCTCACTAATTAGGCTGGTTGTTCCGGTGAAATAAATGGGGACGTTGTGAGGCTTTTATGAAAAGCGTTATCATTTTACATCAAAGACACCGATGGCTACAACACTTTTGTATACGTGTCGGAATGATACTGTTTGAATGAAAAAGGTAACAGAACCCAAGAAATATGATCTTTATTACAGCGGGACAGAGCTCAAAAATGTTAAAATCCTTTGGTGCGTGAAATAAAGGAGAATATCGGAAAATCTTTATGTTCATCGAAATAAGGCAAAACCTTAAACTTGAATAAGCATATTTAACTTGAAATAAGGATACATCTACGTTGGCCTGGTTGTCATTCAGGAATTTCAACTGTCGAAAATATCTAAAATCAAACTGTTGATTATTTGTTTGTGGAAATGAGACTTGTCTGATCTGTTTCAGGGAAGATGTCCACTACACTTAAGATTATGTCCTATCCAAAGAAATTTTCAGGGCATTATTTTGAACTTTTTTCAACATTTGGGTAAAATCCTATGCATGCTGTGATGCAATCAAAGTTCAATGTCATGGTGAAGGCATAAGATCTTTACAGTAAGCTGATGACAGATAGAATCTAATGTAATGATTACTGTGCACTTCTGATTTTCAGTTTGAAATGAGACTTACTTTTTTCACGGAATGAAATTCAAAACACTGCAGTGATTCTAATGTACCATGTCTGATGGGCTGTATGACTGAATCAAAGAGAAATCAGTAATCTAATAGAAGTGACTTTACATAGAAAGTGACTCAAAATTATACTACAGTGAGTTTCTAGTATGCTGGACTACAAAATCACTACTTCTCTTGCAAACATTTGAAGCAACAATAAAATTTCCCGTAGATGGAACTGTCTTTAATGTTATGTGTGACGATTTATGCAGCAGGAAGCTCTGCTCTGTCTACGTTTCGTGTTTGTTGATATTCGTAGGCATTGTGAAAATGTACTTATGGCAGCTAATATTCTCTCGATGGTTCATATTTACCATACTGCGTCTCCAGCTCAGAGACTTTGCCATTCAGCTACTGAGCTGTAGACTGACCCAAAGCAGAAATTGTTTATGTATACGACGTGGTCACTACATGGTAAACAACATAGCCGTTAGCACCTAAGTGATGAGTGTTCATCATGACCTGATGACTGAGTCAGCTTGGTGACGAAGTCTTTAAATAAAACAGTAGATGATGCAGATTTGAATTACCGAAACATTATGAGTTCCTCAAAAAGCCAGTCATGTTCATTCTTGCGGTAGGCCCGAGTTTCTACTTCTTTGCGTAATATTTTATGCCTACTTAGTCCATAAACGCCTTTATTTTACTTAGTGTCTAAGCTACATAAAATCATTGAGTAGATTTCTAGAAAGGTGGTGACACATTTTGTCAACTGTTTGGAAATAAGAAATTCAGCGGACTAATTTTGAAGGTACACAGCTTATTTTGCCAAACGTCTTATAACAGACTTCGTTATGTCTAAGGACAAGAGAGAAAAAGGCATAGTGTGTAACAGTTTCGTCCTCATTTAAGAGTCATTTATAATTTAATAATTTCCATTGTAACATCAAGAACAAGATATTCAGCGGAGAGACTCTTTTCAACGAATTTGTTTTCAAGCTGTACAATCGTATATATATGATATTGGGAAGAAATTATATCCTGTGAGGAAAACTAAACACTATATGGTGATGACAATAATAATAGAGTTATATACTCTCTATGTACCATTCCATATACTACATAGTCTATTTGTTATCATTCGCACTTCAGTTGTTATTATAATCACAAATGCCTATGTCATCATTGGCTCTATTATTATTGTCATCACCATATAGTGTTAAGTTTTCCTCACGGGATATAATTCTTTCCAAATATCATTTATAGTAATCCTTGATCTTATACGGAGCCAATCTTAAGAAATCTAAGTTTCCTTAAAAGCAGAGTGCAATTAGGATAGTAATTTGAAATAATTTTCATATCCCTGTAACCTGGTTTCTTTCCCTACACATTGAATAGCCAAAACTTAACCAACCACGCATAAACAACTTGTTCTGAATATAGTTTTCATGGAGTTTAGGTGGGAATTCGTTACCTGAGTCGAAGTGCTTAAAATGAGATTTTTCATACCTTTAATATACCTCTGTCTAATTTCTCCTATTTTCGGTAGGTCTTTGATATCTACCCTACCTCAAGCACTTATACCAGCAGTTAACAAAGAAGCAACTTACACAAAAACGGTTGAAATCTAGAAGAAATTCTTCTACCTAAGGACTATGAGTAATCAATCCAACTCTAAACCGTCGCTCCATATGACTCCAGTAGTCCACTAGTTAAAGTTGCACTGTCAGTTTAGTGGTAAATAATGGACTGCTCTAGCAGCAGTTTAAGATTTATTAGTGCTTATGGTGACGAAAATTTATCGTCTGAAGAACACTACTAAACATATGCTTGTTGCCTTCTCTGAGAGGTACCTAATGTGGGATATATTAGGTTCACTGTTTTGTTATGGGGTTTCAGAAGGCTTACTTGTTAACTACCACCGAAGTTTGTTGTAAACCTCGAAAAATCTCCTGTTGAACTTTTCCATAAAAAGAGAGAAAGTATAGAAAACGAACACTGAAACAAAAATATCATACCATCTACTGTCTATGCAAAATGGAAGTTGTATACATGTAGCGAGCAAATATTCAATCTCAAACTCGACAGAACTTCAGTTTCGTATCTGCAGAATGCAACATTCTTTCCTTCACTGTCGTCAAATCATACTGAAATTTATTTACTGCCAGTTTATAAATTATCTGCGCGGAAAGCAAATCAATTGTCTTCACCCGAATGCCTTAGACACCTCCTCACCTGCGACTAAAATAGCATACAGTCTATCTATCGGTTAATCCTGGCATTTCAGGTTTGCCTCGAGTAAACAATGCCTCATAGTATTTAAGGCAGTTAAAAAAGTGACAAAAACAATCAATACTTATCCTGAAAACAGTGAGTCATTTTATACTGGGACTACACCATCCAAGGCTGTATGTAATCGAATAAAGGAACGACATAATATTCAATCATTTCTCTGTTAGTAAAACTAATCCTATATTTGACGTTCATTTATGGAGGTATAATGAACTAAGATGTATGAAGTTCCTTAAAATCCGCATTCGGTACGTTGGAACTAGTTTTTAATGCGTCACGCAGACCACATCGGTTGGTTTACCCAAAGGGAAAGCCTTTTGACCTTTCACCTACAGACGCTATTACGGGAAAAGAAGGGTGGATACTCTTTCATATTTCTCAGTTCTACGAGTATATGGTGTTAAATTTAAAGTTATTGGCTTTCTAAATAAAAAAATAAGGCACTTTAATACTTTTGCACGTAAAATTTCACTTGGATCGCCAGTAAGCTTGTTTGCCTAAACTCATCTTCTTTGTCTAGACCAATTTACTACAAACTCACACATAAAAGAAGCATTGCAGTCTTAAATTACTTTATTCTCTTCGTCTTCTTCCTCTGTCACAGTCCACAACTTATGGTTAAAAAACATGTGTCTTAAGGTTTTGCAGTTTACTATGTCCTATGTGAAACATAATATGAGATTTATAAGACGAAGAGATCACAAAAGATTTGATCAAACTTTGGAGTGAGTACTTACATGCAGTACAGATATTTATCGCCTATAAAAATTTGAAGTTCACTTTCAGTCATCTTTTTAAAGGCATCTCATCATCCGTCTGTCCCAACTAACGTCATTTGTGAAACATTTCATATGATACGCATTGCAATGACCTGCAAAAATCCCTCAGCACACAGCATTAGGGAAACTGTGAAATCATTTGAATCCCATTTGCGAATAAGGATACTGGTTATCAACAACAGGAAATCTTGTTCAAACACACCGCTGGACCTCCAAAAAAGATAAAAGACTATTATTAGACCAAACGATGTAGACGGAGGGAAAATTTCTGTCACTGAAAGGCACATAAGAGTGATTATGTGTCGATATTTCAGGTCTCCACCGAATGCTGGTTCTTGTGCCGAGTAATCAACCCCTGTGACCGACTGCCAGAAAAGTCGTGTCCACATCATTAAATGACTCGTTCAAAATGGGGTTGGACAACCAAAGAAACCTACTGGAAAAAGATCAATATAGGTTCACAGCTTCCTATCATCAAGCAACAAATCTGAATTCGTAAGACATCCTCCTACTTAGGAAACCGCATAAACTTAACATACCGTGAAGACAGATTAAGTTCCATTGGGTTTTTGAATGACAGTTATCTTCAAGGGGTCAAGTGATGAAAAAAATAATGAAAGCGCATAAATCTACTGAAAAGAGCTTAAAATGCCAACAATAAATTCCTGCCTTCGATCTTAAAATATGGCCACCTAAAAAAAGTAATTTCAAAATGTAGGATGTGTTAAGTAAGACAGCGTACGCAAATTGTTGAAAATTCAGCTGTGAACATCCACCTGTGTCCTCGTCAGTCGCACTTCGTTTAGAAAATAAGCAAAAAATTAGGTTCTTCAGAGAGAATGGCATCTTTTCTTAGACTGGTACAATTTCTACTACACGAAGAAAGTATCCTTGTGTTTAATTCGATAAATAAAGCCTCATTTTTCAGCCTAATATCATTGAGACAGAGTTTTTCTATGCTTTCTTTGAAGTGAGGGTGAAGCGAAAAGAAAACCGATAGTGAAATAAAATGCTTCATTAGTGGAAAAACATACTATAAGGTACATACAAAACATACAGTAACGGAATCAAAGATCCTTGTTGAGTAATGCGGATGACCTTACAATAGCCTTGAACAGTTCAGGTAACAATATATATATTCAATATTTTTTAGTCGAATATGAAAAACTAGCAGTCTTTGAACTCCTGCGCCTAGGTCTTGGAGCTAGGTCACTCTTGTTTGATTTCATTCATAAGTAAATCCATGAAAGTTTTTTCCGAGTTTAGCTTTTGAGGTTTCTCTAGTTTGTCTGTCGCATATCTCTTGATTTTGTAAACTGGTTAGGTAAGAAGGCTACAAAACTTTTGTGATAATAGACTGTCTGTCTGTACGAGAACCTAGAGTGTTAGTCCTGTAACGAGAAGAAAAAAGCCACTTGTGTAGTGGAAAAGGGAAGAAAGAATGAATTAATGTATTGTAGAAATTTTGTATCACTGGACAATAAAATCTGAGGAACTTTGGCAATACGATAGGGTCAGATACTTTCCGTATAGTTTAGTGGTAAGCTATGACCACTAACGCATTTATCTGACAATCTTCTGGACGACTTTCCTGTGACGGCCATGGCTATTTCTTGTGCTAAGGGGTTCCACATTCCACATGTTTTTGGTGAAAATAAATTGACTGTCATTTTAGAGGTAATTCTTTAGTGCGCTGCGTCTGCTGAATTCTTGCATCAGCGTCTTTTCTGAGCTGGCAGCAACAGTTATTTGGTATGGTTTGGCAGACGAACAATCTTGTGCTCTATTATTTGTTTATCTTATTTCCGATGTCCAATAACAATAGTGGGGGTAAAGGTAACTTGAAGTTTCTGAGCTCTTGCTTCTAGAACTTAAGGCTCACTTTTTTCTTAAGTTGTACTCCTTTGATGGAAGCTAAAGTCTTTGCGTTTCTCCTGCCTATAGATTTTGAGGTAGTAATTGTCTATCTGAGGGTATTTTATTCGGAAATTGTAGCTTGGTTTGTTTTGCGGGTGGGGGGAAACGAAGCTGCTGATAAGATCAATTTACCCTTTGGCATTCCTGCCTCTGTAGGCGGCCACAAGCAAGCATTAGATGTTGCTTGAAAAGTGCTAGAAATAGGGTCAGTTGGGAGTGAGATAAAGAGGCTTGAGAAGTACTAATGGAAGGATAAGCGTTTCTGATGATAATACGGAGACGGGATGCGTCTTACTGCAGAAACTGGAGTTAGGGAGTTCAAAGATGGAAGAGCATGCCACCAGTTGCTGCTGACAAATAATCGTGGTACGCCATTTGCGCCCATGCAATTGTAGCGTCACACATTTCCCCAAAATCAATAGCCTAGGGTTCGACGACACTCAACATTGGTGCTGACCCTGATAGTTTAACTGGACTCACTAAGCTGAAGGCACCCGGTCAAGCATCCTCGCCATTTGGTACGCTGTCGTGTTACGTTGTACTGCTCGTATTCGACTCTCTAGCCACTTAGTTGGAACGCATCGGTATCTTGGCACAACCATCCAAATATACCATTCCATCCGACTACGCTATCGTGTTCTTCCTTGGTCTCGTATTCGTGGGTATATAACAAGTCTAAATAATTAGTGATTGGTCTTTGCGTCTTTCAAGTTCGCACCAGGACAAATCCTAAATTGGTGAGCCCGACCTGATCACGTATCCCAACCAATAACAGATATTGAATTGATGAGCCTATTCCATTTTATATTTGTATATTGTTTTCATTTCGATAACATTTATACATCCATTTACCGCACTTTTTCATGTCCGACCACACTCCCAAGCTTATTCGTATCAAGCCGACCTCGAACACGATCCAACTCGTGCCATATTGGCCAGACAATGCAGAAACATGGTTTCTGTATGCCGAGGCAGATTTTCGAGGACAGGGTGTCTCAGATCCTCATTCTCGATTTCTTACCGTCATACGTTCACTACAGCGGGAATCAAACAAACATGTTACGGCACGCATGTTTAATCCTGAAGTAAGTGATCCCTATGCACTTCTCAAGGCCGTACTCTTGAAGAAAAGCAATCTCACATATCGCCAGCGCCTGGACGAATTACTTCGTTACATCGAGCTGGGTAGCAACTCAGCTACTGAAGCCCTCGCGCGCATGCGAGAAGTAATCGGTGCACGAACATTTGACGATGGTTTCTTCCGAGAACTATTTCTCTCGAAACTACCACAACCGGTGCAAACCGTGTTGGTGACACTCCAGTCAGTCCCACTCGACGACCTGGCAGCCTCGGCAGATAAAATACTGGAGATTTCCAGCAGACCCATCTCCAAAGTATATTCTATCCGCGACAAACCAGAGCGCTAGGATTCAGAAATGAAAAAGCTGTGCAACTCTGTGAAACGGTTGCTACGATCTCGAGGTCGTAGCTCACGTAGCACTTCACGGAAACGCACCTTGGCGCATCGCAGCAAATCGCGTGGTAGCCCTAAAACGAAACCCAACAGGGTGGAAAACCCTGAATGGTGCTGGTTTCATAATACTTACGGAGACGAAGCCAGAAAATGTCTGAAACCATGCAGTTTTAACAAGGACATAAACTCGGGAAACGGTCACGTCGGCACGTGTTTATGGCAACCGTAGCCAGCGGAAACAGCCGTTTGCTCTACGTCACGGATATTAAAACGAAAGTTCGCTACCTCGTCGACACCGTTGCAGAAGTTAGCGTTCTCCCCGCACCGACAGAGGAGCGTCATCACGACCCATCCTTCAATCTCCAAGCAGCCAACGGCAAGGCAATCGCGACATTTGGGAGACAATATGCCTACCTCAACTTCGGTTTACGCAAACCTATCCACTGGATCTTCCTCCTGGCAGACGTCTCTATGCCCATCATTGGCATAGATTTGCTAAACCATCACGATCTACTCGTAGGTGCTCGCCGTCGACGCCTGATTGCCAGCAACACAAAGTTATCTATTGGCGGCACCACCTATGTAGGTCCGAGTTTAGCCATCGTTAGAACCAAACAATCAGGGGACGCGTCCTGCCAAGCAGTTTTGGGGAAATATCTAGAGTTGCAGAAACCGAAGCACACCCTTCCAAGCATAACCAGCAATGTTATGCATCACGTCACAACCACAGGTCCACCTGTGGCATCCAAGGCGCGCCGTCTGGCCCCTGACAAGCTCAAAACGGCGAAGGGTGAATTCGACCACAGGCTCGAACCGGGCATTATCAGACCGTCGAATAATCCTTGGGCATCGCCATTGCACAGTGTTGCCAAAAAGGATAGCAACGACTGGCGTCCAACCGGTGATTACCGAAGGCTCAACGCCAAAACAACTCCGGACTGCTACCCTATACATCAATACAAACCCTCGTACACTTTGCCTTATTTTTATTTCAATTTTTATTACCATGTAATGAAGCTTTTAAAAAAACGGTGAAGATAAGCGTAAATTTTTTTTGATATGTTTATAAAGAAATAATTCCCATTTTTGCGAAACGTTTTCGCGGTATTAAAGACTTTTATTTATATTCAGGGTGCAACGAGCACTGGACGGAACGTCGAAAGGAACAGATGACCGCGATCGACGTCTAATTCGGTTTATTGTATTTTGTTATTTGATTGCCACCACACCCTAGAATAGGTTCAGACAACCAGGGGCCACCTCACGCAGTGAGCCCATCGGAAGAGTTTTACCAGTGGAGAAGCCACTGGGTTTCTACTTCCGGCTGGTATCGTCTTAGGGTCAGCACGAACCCACTAGGGGGGAATGATCTGCAGCGTCACATACTTCCCCAAAATCAATAGCCTAGGGTTCGACGACACTCAACATTGGTGCTGACCCTGATAGTTTAACTGGACTCACTAAGCTGAAGGCACCCGGTCAAGCATCCTCGCCATTTGGTACGCTGTCGTGTTACGTTGTACTGCTCGTATTCGACTCTCTAGCCACTTAGTTGGAACGCATCGGTATCTTGGCACAACCATCCAAATATACCATTCCATCCGACTACGCTATCGTGTTCTTCCTTGGTCTCGTATTCGTGGGTATATAACAAGTCTAAATAATTAGTGATTGGTCTTTGCCTTTTGTCGAGTTCGCACCAGGGCAAATCCTAAACACTTATCTAGTGGTCGTCTGAAGGAGTCGACTGACGTATCTTTAGTTACATCTTTAGGTAGAGTGCTTCATAAGGCACATGCTGCGTAGTAGAATAATTTAGATCTCACTCTCTTCTTGCCCTATAGTGGGTTTCTCCCGAAACTGCCGCTTGCGGACCGATAATGTTGACCCACTTGTGTGGTCCATCTGAGGAATGATCATGTAGGCTGTTATCAGATCACCTCGGTTCCTTCGATATCTTGACGTGCACAAGTAGAGTTGTCCAAGGGTTCGCACATGTGTCTTACCTGTTGGTCTGACAACCAACCCTGTCGCTCTTCTACACACCTTCTCAAACTGTTCGCGTCACTTTTTTGTGGTAGGGGGTCATCGTTTTAAACACCTCCAGGTGAGGTCTAACACAAGTTTTGAATACCATAAAGAATAATGCTGGGGCTGTTGCAACAAGCTGCCCTCTTAGACAGTGTATAATGGTGTTCGTCTTTGCTGCCATTTCCTCACAGTCGCCAGCAGTATTCGGTGTGTCAGAGAAGCTAAGTCGTAGGTCCTTCTCTATGAATACCTTGGTGATAGCACACCTTTCGAAAGTGTAGTTGGCTTCATTTGCTTCTGGTGTGTGAAGACACATCACCTTGCATTTTTCCAGACTAAAGCTAAAACCGTTTGCAGCTGACCGGGACTGCAACTGCAATGGGCCGTTTTGGAGTATCCTAAGATCCTCTTACTTGCCTATCGTCCCCCATATTTTGATGCCGTCGGCAAATAGGAGGGCAGACGAGTGGTGAAAATGGGAGTGGTCCAGGGATCTCTCCCCGAGAAACGCCTGTTCTTGCACTCTTCCAGGTTATCGAATTCTGTTTACTTTAGCATGGAATTCTCTGTCCTCTAGATATCGTGAGGACCACGATAAGAGCGGTTCAGCACTACCCACTTTTGCAGATCAAATGGACATGGTGTGTTGTGGGACGCTGTCGAAAGCTCTGGC